GCAATGATGGAAGGACTATAATAATGATAACTGACGCTTTGTGAATAGTGAAGCCGTGAAAAAGCCTTAAAAGTGCTGCAAAACTAATGAAAAGGTGACACATATGAAGAGCATTAAATGGAAGGACAATTGAAGCATCAATTCTGTCATAGCATTAATGTGACAAAAATCCTCATTTTAATGAAATCCACTTCCCAAATATTCAAACGGTGAATAAATGGCAAGTGGGAGGGACTATCTGTATTGGAAAAAATTGAGTTTACATATTAAAGTGGTGAAAAGATGACGTGTCATGACACATAGACTGGTCAAAGAGTTACAACTGGCAAAGAGGCACGAGTTGCAACAGATACGAGCAGAGGCAAAGGAAGAGGCACGAACGGTTATCCAAAAGACTCAGCGCTCGTACTTATTTTAAGTCCAAAAATCAAGGGGAATGAATCTGACACTACATGGGAGTACAGATACAGTATTTAATGAGCCTTAAATACTAAAAACGTTAGAGAATCTGTATTAAATGCAATCATTATGTAACGTAGCATTTAATGTCTTTAATTGTCCATAATAGCCTTATTATGACAAAGGAAAAACGCATATCTCCAAAATAGCTATAAAAGGGAGTGAACAGATCAATTGTAGGGACACAAAATATTATCTGAATATACCGATTTACTTGTTTTTCTTCTAATTATCTTATTGCTAGCCAAATTACTTTCTTTCACATATTCTTTTGATTATCAATAACCCGAGTTCTTCTAAATTAAAGCTTTGACCGAAATCCCATTTTTTGGTTAAACAGAAGTGAACCTCTGTCTTTGAATCCTATGTTAAAACTGGACAAGCGATGATGGAGCGGTAAATATTTATTTGTATCAGATATTTATATCAAATTAATTTAATTTATAATAGTTAAGTCATTTAATGAAGTAAAAATTGTATTAATTAACCATGCTTAAATGATGAAAGTTTATGGGCAAACATCAAATACAAATAGCATTAGCAGTACCAAAAGTGAAGTAACAATTCCTTTAGCATGAATAAGTGGACTTACCAAGCTTATGATGATCACCCTGCCATTATTTGATTTCTTTTAAAATTATCGTCGAAAATGAGGGCAGTAATGAACAATGGAAGTGTGGAAGGTAGAACAAGGAGATCTCCCAGTCCTAAAAATACAAACAAATTATAACCTTAAGTTGAAATAAATTACTTTGATAGGAGGAAAAAGGTAAGAGAAAATATTAAAAGTAAAGTACCTCTTCAATTTCAAGAAATAGCAAAATCAGCTCTTGTAAGAAAAAAAATCATTATATATAGTTTTAATTTTCCAAATATTAAATGTCTAAAACTTTTTACGGAAAGTTAAAACCAGCTCTTCTCTGTATAAATTGTCTGCAACCCCCATTCAGGGCAGGAATTTTTATAAGTGGTGTCGAAATTTATAGAAGAATTGAAATATAACTTTGATTATCGTACGTTTAAACAAGAAATAGCCTTAGTCTATTGGCTTTGTTTAGTCTTAAGTTAGAAAATGTCTTGAGTTCAATTCTACTTCATCACAATTTTTAACCACAAATACTCTATCAAATTTGCTAATTGAGGTTTGAACCTTTGACCTGATAGAGCAAAATTAAGCACATAACCAACACACCAAGACACGACTTATGTCAAGTGCTGTCATTTTTTTCTACTTATTCGTTTCTGTATAATATAAATAGATATATTTAATAAACTTTTTCGACGAAACGATATCGTGTGACATCGCTTCGGTAAGCGTGCATCCGCCCCTCCCCCAAATCTTTTGCATTTGAAACAAACGAATACAATTGAATTCTATAGACAATTAGATAGATAGTGTTTGTGTAAGCTTACATTTAACCAAATCAATTTAAAGTACTTTTTAGTTTACCTCTATACGTTTGGTAAATTATGGTGAAATAGAAATGCTTATAAACAATAAAAACAACAAAAATCCATAAGTTAGTCAGCCTTAGTTTAATTCTTTGTTTTATCTCTCTATATATTTTGAAGAAGCGGCAAAACTGCCCCTAATTTATTCGTTTTGGTTTAAAAATACCCATGTTCGCCTATTTGTAAAAATTGCCTCTAACATCAATTTTTTGGCCCGCTCATACCCTAAAAACTAACGGTCCTATTTTGATTAAGAAAAAGTTTTATTACTTAATATATGTCAATTTCCTATTGGTTTAAATTAAAACCACATCCACATCTACTTATTAGCCCGCTCCAGGACCCAAAATATCCATACCCGACCCATGACCCGCTTATTAAAATGCCCTAACTTCACCTCTCAACTTCTACTCTTCCATCCCTGCCCTCCCACTCTACATCTTCTCTAATCATAAGGCCAAATACCTATGCGGCCCCTTAAACTTGGTTCAAATTTTTATTTTAATACTTTAACTAAGGCCAGTACCTATTGAACACTCAAACCTGGTCTTACTTGTGTCTATTAAACACAATAGCTGACATGGCAAAAAAATGTGTATTTCACCACTCTTAAGCACGTGAATGGATCTGAAATTATATTTTTCCTTCTTTTTTATTTAAATAAAAACCTCTTTTTCTAAAGCAACCATATCACCACCTTATTAACTCCATTACTTCCGCTCTCCGCCATTAGTGCGACCATTTTCCTTCATTCTTATTTCTCCTCACACCACCCTCCACCCTTCCCCTTCTTCCTCCTCCCTACCCACCACTGCCGCCACCACCCTCGATTCTTTTCTTTCCCTCCTTACATGAAATGGAGATTTAAAAATTTAGAGACGGAGAACAAGTTGACTCAGGAGGTTGAATTGATGAGATAATTAAAATTGATCAGAAATTGGATCACAGAAAATTGGAGACGTATGAGATTGACGAAGAAGACGACGATGGAAAATTTTCCGACCATGAAGCTCTGCAAATTTCCCATAAACTTCAAATTATTTTTTGTCTTTAGATATTTATTTTTTAGTCAATGGATCAACCTCTTACATCGTCAATCTGCTGCAGAGCTTGAAAGAAATCAGATTCCATAGAAGACTCTCCCCAATACTCAGCGTTTAAACAAATGGAATGAAACCCATTTTTCATCGTCAATCTGTCTTTAGATATTTATTTTTTTACTCAGCGTTCATTTTAAGATTTTAAGGTTTAATAAGTTATCTTTCTGCTTAAGTTATATTTGTTGTTCGGCGGTGATTTGGTTGGAAAACTATCAACAGTGATTAAGTTGGGCAAGAAGAACAGGGAAAGAGTTAGGGTACCAAATAATAAATTTATAAAAGAAAAATATGACATTTTGACAAATGGAACCTAAATAACGATTGGATCATAAGTCAGGTATGGAATTGGGTGTTTGAGAGGCTAAAAGATTTAACGGGTTGGAACGATTAAGATGGATCATTAGTGGGTTATTTACAGATCAGATGTGGGTTAGAATGTGATTTTTAATTTTGACCAATAAGCAATTACCACGTCATATATAATAATAATTTTTTATTCAGCAAAGGTCTAGCAGAAATAAGGGCATGAATAAGCCAAATTTTTAACGGTGAGGGCATTTTTTACAAAATAGGTGAACAAAGAATATTTTTAAACCAAAGCGAATAGGTTAGGAACATTTTTGACCTTTCTCCTACATTTTTTGTAATCCTCAAGTGCACTTCCAAAAAAAAAAAACGACACTACAGGTTCCGTTTTTACTCTATTTCCATCATTGGACTTTTTCATGAAGATAGAACTTTTAAATGTATATTTTTTGTTTTTACTCTATTTCCATCATTGGATATTTCCTGAAGAAAGAAATTTTAAATGTATATTTTTTGCACATGTTTGTAATTCTGAAATTATTGTGGATGAATATATTAAATAAGAATTGAGAAGAAATAAAATCATGTTGAAGGAGATTGTCTCAAAAGACCTATAAATTCTTGAAATTAATGCAAACAATACAGACTTAACTAAAAATATGACACAATAGAGAAAGAAGATCCATATAGTTGATATCCACTAATGGAAAATAAGTATAGAACTTTTTGTATTAATACTAATATTACCATTATTATTATTACTAGTAATATTTTTTTATAATTAAATTATTTTATAATTTTATTTTATTTGGTATAATGATGACATGAGTTGAGCTTAAATAGAAAATTAGGATTCATATAGCAGACTCCAACTTATTTTGCATTGACGCGTAATGTTATATTTTTCTAAATAATTTTAAGGACATTTCAGTCATTTTAGTATATAATTTTTTTTAGTTAAACACACCAATATTTATTATAAGATTCAAGACTTTTATCTAGATATATAATTATCTATTTATAAAATCAAGTTCAATGTCTTAAAATATAACTTGTCGAACATCAACTTTCAGTCAAACAAACTATACGAACTCATATATTGACTTTTAACATTTTCTCCCATAAAAATCAAAATATATCCTATGGTACACTCTTAATACACGTGGTTTTCATGAAAATTCACAGGAAAAGCCAGCTGATATGGTCTAAAAAAAGGTAATCACTCGAAAACATTATGTAGCAAGTTGGCAATTGTTACTGACGTTGTACTTCAAAGGCCACAAAAATTAGTTGGTTCATGCGACCACTCGTATTGTGCATATCCGACAGGTAAGCAACCTTTGATTTCCAAATATACATACAGAAATGGAAATAATGAAATAAAAAGGCAAAATCACAACCAGAAAAAGACTACCAAAAATCAAACCTTCGTCAAGTACACGTAGGAATATGCATCAAAAGATCCATCAACCAGCAAAAAACAAAAATCAATTGGGTCATATCAAATCCTGGATTTTTGCCCATCATTTTCTTTTTTTTTTCTTCTTCTTTTCTCATGGTGCAGTATAACCAACATAACATCCAAATAGATTATTGTTAACTATTTTTGATTAAATGAGAAACCTTATAGAAAGATATATATTATGAACATACTTTGGTGGACAGAGTCATTCGGATGAAATAATCTAAATACACCTAAATTGTCATTAGACACTTCTAAAACGTATATTATGGACATGTCATTTGGTACAAGGATGGGATACAAATAACTATTTTCGGTCTCATTTCTTGTTCTTTCCATATATTTCATTTATTTTTCAATCAAGTACATAAAAGAAAGAAAATTGTTGCAGATTTCTTAAGCCTTCAACTGGAAAAATGAAGGCCCACTCAACAAGCCGTTGTATCTCTTTTAGATCACTTCAACTACATGTTCCACCGGCTACTTTACTCCGGCGGAAACATATATTCAAAAGACTCAATTTCCACGTCAGCATTTCAGTCCGTTGTTCGGCCGACGGTACCGATAACTCCGCCGAGGTAATTAGTTCCTCGGCTACAAGGCGTAATGTACTGCTCATGCCTTTACTTACAATCGGAGCTTGTGCTCTTCGGTCGGCAGTGTCCAGAGCGGACGACAAGCCGCCGCCGGAGAGTACGCCGTCTACTCCGGTGACTACAGCTGAGACTCCGTCGCCTGCTCCGGCAGTTAAGGCGGAGGAAAAGAAAGAGGAAGTGATAAATTCGAGGATTTATGACGCGACGGTAATAGGAGAGCCGTTGGCTTTGGGGAAGGACAAGAAGAAGGTGTGGGAGAAGCTCATGAATGCTCGGGTTGTGTATTTAGGCGAAGCCGAGCAAGTTCCGACTCGAGATGATAAGGAATTGGAGCTGGAGATTGTGAAGAATATGAGGAAGAGATGCGCTGAAGCAGAGCGACCCATTTCATTGGCTTTAGAAGCATTTCCCTCTAATTTACAACAACAACTCAATCAATACATCGCTAGAAGGTTAGAATTCCCTGCCAGTATTTCCATAATTGGTTATTGAAAATAAAATAAAAACTATTTTTTGCCCTATCTGCACAGTATAATATTTCAATGAAGGTGATTCAATTGAACCTCCTTCCTTCAAGCTAGCTCCGCCCCTGAAATAAACCTTGTTTAGGGTTAATGCGATATCGTTATCAAAGAGTTTGTTATAGTCCACTTGTTACATCTATAATATATAGAGAAATTTTCACATGAAATAGTTGCATTGAGATATTTGTATGAGACAGTATCTGATGTTATGGACTTGATATTGCAGGATAGATGGAGAGAGTTTAAAATCTTATGTAGCACATTGGCCAACTCAATATTGGCAGGAGTATGAGCCCTTACTAAGTTATTGTCGCGACAATGGGGTTCGGCTGGTCGCATGTGGTTTGCCGCTAGAGGTACTTATTATCTGTGTTTTCATCTATTAGTTGACGGGCATGAACTAGAAATATTTCTGAATCCAGAGGAAAAAGCAGCAAACAATAGTACCTATGAATGATATTCAGCATAAAAAGGATGGACTCCTTTTATTATCATAAAAGATCTCTTCGTTCTTAAAATTCCAATTCTTTTCACTTCCTTTAAGTGCTCTGCATTGATCAACTTTTTCTAGCTTCATAAGTTTCATGTGGAAATGATAAATTTTCTTGTTTTTTTCTGGATTAGGTCCTACGAACAGTTCAAGCAGAAGGTATTCAGGGGCTTTCAAAAGCTGATCATAAGAAATATGCTCCTCCAGCTGGTTCAGGTTTCATCTCAGGCTTTACGTCAATGTCACGCAGATCATCCATTGATGTAAATCTGCTGAACCAGCCTACTCCTTTTGGACCAAGCTCGTATCTCTCTGCACAAGCAAGAGTTGTTGAGGAGTACAACATGTCCCAGATAGTTTTACAAGCAGTGATGGATGATGGAGCAGCTGGTATGCTTGTTGTTGTCACAGGTGCTACCCATGTCATGTATGGATCAAGAGGGACTGGAGTGCCTGCTAGAATTTCAAGGAAGATACAAAAGAAAAATCAAATTGTTTTACTACTTGACCCTGAAAGACAATGGTTAAGGAGGGAGGGAGAAGTTCCTGTTGCTGATTTCTTGTGGTACTCCGCAGCTAGACCTTGTAGCAGAAATTGTTTTGATCGTGCAGAAATTGCCCGTGTGATGAATGCAGCTGGCAGGAGACGAGATGCCTTACCACAGGTTAGTCATTTATGCTTCAAGGTGAAGGACTTTAACTAATCAGCTTCCAAAACTCACATTTGGCTGCAGTCAAACATACAGATTGAATCATTAAAACAGATAGTCTCCTGCTAACTGAGTCTGTCAAGCTTCTGATATGGAGCTTGAAGTTATTAACCAAAAAAATCAGTTATGCTTTACAAGATCTACCAATGCTCCTTCTACCTGAGTTCTTCAGAGTTGGGGTTTCAAAACCAAATTTCTTAGCTTGTACGTTATAGAAATTGAAGAAATGATGAAAAAAGAAAAGCTTGCTTCTTTACACCAAAAGCTTGTCAGATGAAGTTAATAGATTAATAGAATATCTTTAGAATGCACTAACATTCAGTATGGCGAAAAATATACAAATTACCGAACCTCTTATAAATCTTGGAAAAGTTTTAGGCCAAGACATCCATACCACATTTGTAGAGAATATTTCCACCTGGAGATTTGTGATTATGCTTTCTGAAGAGACTTATATCTAATGAAGGACCTGAGATCATTTGGCTGCAGAATCCTGCTCTCAGTCAGTAACCAGAGATGGGAATCTTCACTCTACCTTATCTTGATCTGGTTCAACATAACGTTTTCTTACTATCGCATGTTGTCTTTGCGAGGTATATTCTATATGTGAAGGATATCCTATAACCTCAAACAGCACTATATTCGATGTATGAGGTTCATGTTCGTGATTAAGACCAGTTACTGAATTGAAAATTATGCATCAGTTCACTCTGGTCCATGTCCAATGCTCTCTCCTTGGCTGCTTTATCTGATTCCCTAAGATCCTGTCTAGCTTGACTTGCCTCTGGGCCCATTAGCAATTAGATATTTCTCACTTATTAAAATGAATTCCATTTGCAAATGGACTTTTAGTACTGTGGAGAAGAACTTTTCTGATTGAATCCTACCCTTCCCAGAATTGCAATTATCATGTTCCGGAAGCACCGTCTAGTTTCTCTCATGTGCATCACATCTACTTCATTTTCTTATGATGATGGTGTTCGGGCCAACTTATGCGCACATCGGCTGCTACCTCCCACCAGCACCGATTCTGCTTGAATCTAGCCACTAAAGCATAGGCAAATGGGAAGAAAGAACCTAGTGTTTTCTTCATCAAGAAATAACCTATTGTATTTTGTCTCTGCTAGGATTTGAACCCTGGTCTCCAAGGTTCGCACCACTTCATTAACCACTAGGCTACATCTGCTCACGTCTACTTCATTTTTGAAACCATCTTTTCAAGTGGCAATAACTTTCATACTACAAGACCCACTCCTTGTATAATAAGAGTCCTGCACTGGTGGCATTTATACCATTTACCACAACCTTGACCCGTGAATAGTGTGTTAAAGGTCATTAGATGCAACTTTCTTCGTTCTATCTGCTGTATTGAATTGGTTTTTGATACCTCTGCTTGTTTATTTGTTAGGTATCTTCTCTGCTTTAGCAAGCATCGGTCATATTTTCATCTTCTCTGCTTTAGCAAACATCGGTCATATTTTCATCTCAGTAGTAAACTAGATCCCACAATTTTTTTTGAAGTTACTCATCATAAACTTTTCTATCACATTTTGTGGACATGGCTTGGCGCACCGGTAAAAGTTGACGCTATGTGACCAAGAGGTCAAGGGTTCAAGCCGCTAAAATAGCCGCTTGCAAAAATGCTAGGTAAGGCTGCGTGCATAATACCTAAGGTAGTTTGGCCCTTCTCCGGGCCCCGCACATAACTGGAGCTTAGTGCACAGGGCTGCCTTTATTTTTATTTTTTTGAACATGGCTTCCTGGGCATTTAATGGATGCACAAAATATTAGGTGTTAATTGAAAAATCTCTTACTGCAAATGTACTAAATAATTCCAGAAGTAAAGGGGTTACAAGTTTCATAATTCATTACAGGATAATTGCTATTCCGACCAATAAACCGCAACACCCTGCTACTTTCGTATACTACAACCAAGTTTGAGTTTGGATAATAATGCCCGTTAAACATTTGGGTCCCAAAAGCATTAGTAAAAAGGGGCTTGTCCTTTTAGTTTTTGATCAATAAGTGAGAGTGACACAGGGCTTGTCTTTCCGGGTGTAATATATCACATCTTCATAATGGTAGAAAGTAATTGAGATAAAATTGAACTAAGTGGCACAAGGAACTGTTGGAAGTATTTGGTAAGAAACTTCATTATGGAAGCACGTATTTTTTTCATTTGTGTATTTGAATCAATCAGCACTTTTTCTTATAACCAAATATCCTTGCTTTTTTCAGCTTCAAAACTTGGTGACACTAGGCTCACTTTTTACCCTTCTCCTTCACTAATCAGGATTCGCACTCGTGACGTGCCCCTACAACACATTCCGCTCTGTGCTTATTTGCCTTTGAACCAAATCCCTGGGAGCTATAGCACTTTTTTAATAGGGTGTAAGGCCCCGTGAATTTCCTGCTCAGAACCCCGAATCCCGTGGCGCCAAGTTAGGAGCATGTGTTAGGGTTCACAAAAAAAAAATTCTTCGCTCGCCGCGGTTCGGACCCCTTTGGATTGAACAGTGCATTAAAAAGTCTAAGAAATAATGTTTTCCAGAGAAGTGCGATTTTGCGGTCGAGAATGCGGTCGCATATCAGGTATGCGGACCGCATAAGGGGCATAGTCACCGCAAAGTGAGTCAGTGTGTTAGTCAAATTTAAGGTTAAATATGCGGTCCACTATGCGATCACATAACCGATATGCGGACCACATAGTCGTCGCATAATTTCCTTGGGATTTGGTAAGGAGCAGTTCTGTGGTGCATTATGCGACCGCAGAACGGGTATGCGGACTGCATTTTTGCAGCATACCCAGACAAAATGTTCAGATTTTGGGAGCACTTTTGCGGTCCATTATGCGGGCCGCATTTCCACTTTGCGATCGCAAACCTGACTCGGGCTCCAATTTTCTAAATTTTTATAACCCGACCCCATTTTAATATATAGTCTTTGGGGCTTCATTTGGGGTCATTTTTCTACTGATTTTAGAGAGAGTTGAGAGCATTTTAGAGAGAGAAGGAGGAACCCAACATTCAATCATCCAATCTTGCATCAATTTTCAAGAATCAAAGAACTCAATCACAAGTTCTTTATCTAAGAGGTAAGATTCTATCCATTAGACTTTAATTTCGAGTTTGGGGTATAAGATGGGGTATTGAGGTATGATTCTTGGGTGTAATACTATTATGTATACACGCATGTACAAATTAGGTTTGTGGAAAGATTGTTGAACATAAATGAGTAAAGATTGGGTTGGGAAATGAAGGAAATCTTGTAAAAGAGATTTGAAATCAAGATGCACAACTAGTATTTGATAAAATGCTCAAACAAGCTGAAACCATGAATACCTTCCTAATTTGTGTTCAATTTTGTTATGTCTCAAAGTAGATTGGGGTTGCTAGAATTTCCGGAACGTCATAGTAACTTAAGGAAAGCTTAAACAAGGNACCTTCCTAATTTGTGTTCAATTTTGTTATGTCTCAAAGTAGATTGGGGTTGCTAGAATTTCCGGAACGTCATAGTAACTTAAGGAAATCTTAAACAAGGCATGTATGGCTAAAACCCCCTCCTCTTAGAAATTGAGCTCCCATGGTGCCCGTGTAAGTGTTGTAAGTTCGAAATGTGACTGATGCAATGCTTGTTATGTTAAGTGAATTGATGTTGTGAAAATGTATGTGGTAAGTACTTCTTTATGTGTTTAATGTGCTATTCTTATAAATGGAAGATGTGTGGAGAACATGATTTATGTGCTAAATGCCTATCTGTCATGCCAAGGTTACTTTGGAACTAACATGCCAAACTTGATGAATTTCCTTCTATGCTTATGACTTAAATTGCTTTTGTATATGCCTATGACTTTAAGTGGCAAGGTGAATGTTGGAAATGGGAATAATGTGAAACGTGAGTTATGAAACGTGGAAATTGTGGCCCCAAGCGCCGGTAAACTAATACATGTGTAGCCGAAGATCGGTATAAGATGAATAACGGAAAATGGTAACGTCTCGGGGAGACAGCTTAGCTGATCGGACCGTGATCGGACGCCATGATATATATATACACATGGTGGTAATGTATTGATGATTGAAACTGGAAGGTGTGAATGAAATAATGGTAACGTCTCGGGGAGACGACTTAGCCGATCGGGCCGCGATCGGACTCCGCTCACAGAAGCGGTGGTAATATGGATAATGATGCAACAGTGTGGGGTGCTCCAATCTAAAATTGCAAGAACCCTGTAGAAATCATGTGAACCTTCTTATATTGTTGGCATGGTGCTTATTTGAAACTTTGTTGCCTTTACTATTTCCTCTTTACTCTTGAATGGTTGTTCTTTCTAACAAGATGGTGTTTAGTTATACATACTAGTACTATTCCATGGTACTAACGTCCCTTTTGCCGGGGGCGCTACATTTTTAAATGAATGTAGGTGGCTCTATAGTGGATAGTACCGATCGTATGTAGCAGAGCATCCTTTTCTCAAAATCTTGGTGAGCTCCTTCCTCCTTCAAGGGGTCATGTGGTACACCTTTTGTTATAGATATCCATTTTGAGGTATAGCCGGGGCCTTGTTGCCGGCGTTGTTATCACTGTCTTTTGTATCCTTAGAGGCTCCGTAGACGTTTGTGTGAGTTATGTACGGGTATTGGATAGGTCAATGAACCATGTTGTGACCTTGTACTCTTGCTTTCCTTTAAACTATAACTGTGTGGAATCTTGGACACTTAACTACGATTTAATGTTGTGATATAAAATGAACTAAAATGTTGAATGTACTATCTTTCCTTGTCTAAAATGAAAGCATAGTTTCCCTATTCATATTGAGTTGGATGGGTAGTGTTTTATGAGGCTTGCTCAGTTGGGTTCACTCGATTGAGCACCGGTCGCGCCTCCCGAGGTGGGGCGTGACAAACTTGGTATCAGAGCCTAAGGTTTGGAAGTGTCCTAGGATGTCTCGGAGCCGTGTCTAGTAGAGCCCTTCTTATCGGTGTGTAGTCGACCACATCTATAAATTGGAGGCTACTTGGGCATTTAGGAATAACACCCTTCTTTGATGTTCTGGATCGTGCGGTGAAACTGTCCCTCTCTAATCAGTGCAGTGTTCTATCTTTTAGTAAATGATACCTAAGAAGAAAGCGAGAACTGGCCAAGCAGCTAATGCCACCTCAGTAGTGGCTGATGATTCACTGCTTGATACTGTGGATGAGGGTAGCCGCCTTGCTAATGCTCTGCCTGGTTCTTCTACTCCAGAGCAGACTACCCCAGTTCCCACACCCGTGGAGGGTACCACCATCCCTCCCGTTGATACTCCTATCCCGCCTCTAGCTCCAGCTTCCGGTTCTGGTATTTCGGATGGGGATCTTAGGAGAGCTATTCAGATGTTGACCCAGCTAGTGGCCTCCCAGGCCTAGAGGTCGAATGTTGCGCCTAGTTCATCCAGCCAGCAAGGGGATTCTACTAGTTCCAGAGTGAACAGATTTTTTCAGTTAGACCCTCCGGTGTTTACAGGTGCCAATCCAGAAGAAGACCCTCAGGATTTTATTGATGAGATGCACAAGACCCTCAGGGTTATGCGTGCAACTGAGGCAGAAGGAGTAGAGTTGGCTGCCTACCGCTTGAAAGGGGTGGCCTATTCATGGTTTGAGTTATGGGAAGATTCCCGTGAGGAGGGGAGCCCTCCGGCGAGGTGGAGTGAGTTCGCTGATGCCTTTATAGATCATTTTCTGCTGTTGAGACAAGCGCAACCCATGCAGCGGAGTTCGAAAATCTGAAACAGGGTAGCAGAAGTGTGTGGGAGTACCACATGGAGTTTGCTCGCGTGTCCAAATATGCTATTCACATGTTGCCCACAATGGAGGCTAGGGTGCGTCGGTTTGTTCAGGGCCTTAATCCTTTGACCATTAATGAGTCTTCTACAACTGCCTTGAATTTTGACATGAATTATGGGAAGATGGTGTGTTTGCTCAGGCTACAGAGAACCGCAAACTGAAGAACAGAATGGAGAGAGAGGGTAACAGAAAGACCCGGTCTGCGGGCAACATGGGTGAGTCACTGGGTGGGGGAAGACCAGCTTTTCAGGGAGGATCATCAGGACCGTCCCAGTCTGTTGCACAGTCTTCAGCTACTACACCGCCATCAGGGCCCAGCCAGCAGCAGCAGTGGAGTCGTTTCAGGCCCAGTCAGGGCAACAGAGGATCCTATCAGCGGGGTCGGTCAGGAGAGAGACCCCAGCAGCAGTAGAGGTCCCCACGCCCCAAGTGCGGGAAGATGCATTCAGGGGTTTGCTACTTGGAGTTACCCGTGTGCTATGGATGCAGGATGAGGGGCCACATTCAAAGGTATTGTCATGCATCTCGCCAGGGAGCAGGTAGGGGCATAGCACATTCATCCGGTTCAGCAGTTTCTACATCTTCAGCCCCCTCTCCAGCTCAAGGTACCCCAGCACCCGCAGGGCGATGTGCAGTTAGGGGTGGTGCACAGAGTTCAGGAGGGTCCAGCCGGTTCTATGCTATGAGTGGACGCCAGACTGTAGAGGCTTCCCCAGATGTTGTTATAGGTATTCTGACTGTCCAATCTCATGATGTGTATGCACTTATTGACCCCGGTTCCACCCTGTCATATGTTACCCCTTTTGTTGCTATGGAATTTGGGATAGAACCAGAGCAGCTTCATGAACCTTTCTCAGTATCTACTTCGGTTGGTGAGTCGATTTTGGCTACTCGAGTTTATAGAAGTTGTGTTGTCACGGTGCGTGGTAGGAATACCATGGCCGATCTTATTGAACTAGGGATGGTGGATTTCGATGTAATAATTGGAATGGATTGGCTCTATTCATGTATTGCCAAGCTTGATTGTCGAACTAGAGCTATGTGGCTTGAGTTTCCTAATGAGCCCGTGGTTGAATGGAAGAGAGATAATGTAGTGCCTAAGGGTCGGTTTATTTCTTACCTTAAGGCCACAAAGATGATCAAGAAGGGGTGTATCTATCATTTAGTCCATGTTACAGACACCGATGCCGAGGCACCTAGCCTTGAGTCCCTACCTGTTGTGAATAAATTTCTGGATGTCCTTCCAGATGAGCTCCCTAGGGTTCCACCAGACAGGGAGATTGACTTTGGGATCAATGTGATGCCAGGCACATAGCCTATATCAATTCCACCTTACAGAATGGCACCGGCGGAATTGAAAAAGCTAAAGGAACAATTAAAGGATTTGCTAGAAAAGGGTTTCAACTGGCCGAGTGTGTCACCGTGGGGCGCACCGGTCTTGTTTGTAAAGATGAAAGATGGTTCGCTACGGATGTGTATTGACTACCGGCAACTCAACAAAGTCACAATTAAAAATAAATATCCCCTTCCTAGGATAGATGACTTGTTTGATCAATTGCAGGGTGCTGTGTGTTTTTCAAAGGTTGACTTGCGGTCCGGGTATCATCAATTGAAGATAAGGGAGCAGGATATTCCAAAGACAGCTTTCAGGACTCGGTATGGGCACTTTGAATTTCTGGTAATGTCTTTTGGGCTAACAAATGCCCCGGCAACTTTCATGGATCTTATGAATCGAGTCTTCAAGCCATTTCTAGACTCCTTGGTGATAGTATTCATTGATGATATTCTCGTATATTCCCGAAGTCAAGAGGATCATGCTAACCATCTCAGGGCAGTTCTGCAGACCCTTCAGCAACATCAACTGTATGCTAAGTTTTCGAAGTGTGAATTTTGGCTTGAATCTGTCACGTTCTTGGGTCATGTCGTCTCCAGGGGAGGAATTATGGTTGATCCTCAAAAGATTGCGGCAGTGAAGAATTGGCCTAGGCCTACCACTCCAACAGAGATTCGCAGTTTCTTAGGTTTGGATGGGTACTACCGAAGATTTGTGGAGGGGTTTCTACTCTTGCCTCTCCATTGACTAAATTGACCCAGAAAGCAGTTAAGTTCCAGTGGTCCGATGCTTGTGAAAGGAGCTTCCAGGAATTGAAATCAAGACTGACTACAACGCCGGTGTTAACCCTACCAGAGGGTACAGAGGGATTTGTGGTATATTGCGATGCTTCCTGGATCGGGCTTGGGTGTGTATTAATGCAACACGGCAAGGTTATAGCCTACGTTTCTAGACAACTCAAGAATCATGAAAAGAACTATCCAACTCATAACTTAGAGCTTGCGACAGTGGTGTTTGCGCTAAAGATTTGGCGACATTATTTGTATGGGGTCCATGTGGATATATTTACGGATCATAAGAGCCTCCAATATATTTTCAAACAGAAGAGTTGAATCTGAGACAGAGAAGATGGCTAGAGTTACTCAAAGACTATGACATGGATATCCTCTATCACCCGGGAAAGGCTAATGTTGTAGCGGATGCTCTTAGTCGAAAATCCATGGGAAGTTTAGCTCATTTGGAGGCCCATCAGAGGACATTGGCCAGGGAGGTTCACCAGTTGGTTAGTTTGGGAGTTCGCCTTGCTGACTCTAATGAAGGAGGGGTAATCGTGCATAATAGGGCTGAATCATCGCTTGTGGCAGAGGTGAAAAAGAAGCAATTCGTGGATCCGTTGTTAGCACAACTGAGAGAGGGGATTCTCAAACACAAAACCACAGCTTTTTCCTTTGGCATGAATGATGGTACCCTACGGTACCAAGACCGCCTATGTGTTCCTAATACCGACGGTCTTCGGGAAAGGATCATGGCAGAAGCTCACACTTCCAGGTATTCCGTGCACCCAGGTTCCACGAAAATGTATCATGATCTCAAGGAAATTTATTGGTGGAATAACATGAAGAAAGATGTGGCGGACTTTGTGGCAAAATGTCCGAATTGTCAGCAAGTAAAGGCCGAATACCAAAGGCCCGGTGGATTGGCTCAAAGCATAGCAATTCCAATGTGGAAATGGGAGATGATCAACATGGATTTTGTGGTAGGGTTACCACGCACTCCGCGCAAGTTCGACTCAATTTGGGTGATTGTTGACCGACTCACAAATCATTTCACTTCTTGCCAGTTAAATCTTCCGACACAGCGGAACAATATGCTTAGTTGTATATCAAAGAAATAGTCAGGTTGCATGGCACTCCAGTCTCAATCATTTCAAATCGAGGGGCTCAATTCACGACCAACTTTTGGAAGAAATTTCAGCAGGGCATGGGCACGCAGGTAAATCTCAGCACAGCTTTCCATCCTCAAACTGACAGGCAAGCAAAGTGGACTATTCAGACGCTTGAGGACATGTTGCGAGCTTGTACTCTTGATTTCAAAGGTAGTTGGGATGACCATTTGCCACTCACAGAATTTGCTTACAAAAACAGCTTCCATGCTAGTATCCAGATGGCACCATTCGAGGCACTATATGGTAGGAAATGCAGGTCTCCCATTGGGTGGTTCGAGGTTGGAGAAGCAGAATTTATAGGTCTGGACCTCGTGAATCAGGCCTTGGAGAAAGTCAAAGTTATTGAGGAG